TTCAATATTTTTATCTGTTCGGAAACCCGTTTTCCAGAACTTTGAGGTATTAAAATATGTTTCTTAGCAACTAAATTATTTAATACAAAAGGCATGGTGTTCTTTACCTCCGGGGTACAGATATATAGACTATCTAACTATTTCATACCTTAAACTATATAAAATTGACTTTTATAGGTCTTAAGGTATAGAATCGACTTCATTGAGGAAGATCCTGATTAATATTCATCTGTAAGACATTATTATTTGATAACAATATTTTGGTAACATTTTTATTTTAAATAGTAATAATAAAATATGGCACAATCAAGGGCATTAGGTATTAAGGTTCTATGTGTTTAGTCATATTACAAATAAGAATATTAAAACTGTTATTGTAAATATTTTTTTTAAACTTATTTATTGAAAAATATTACAATCTGTCTCAAGGACATTTATAATAGTGTTCATTCACACTCTATGTACAATAAATAAAATAAATTATACAGAAAAATAATATATATACAATAAATAATAATAAAATAAAGAAATAAAAAGAACACATACATACCTATATACAATATTAACAATCTGGCGAGAGAACTCAGACTTGTCCCTCTTACTGTGGAGGGAAATGCATTGTAAACATTAAAAAAAAAAAATTAAAATTTACAACTGTACATTAAGTAAATGTGCACATCGTAATTATTTAGTTTGCAACATGTTATTGAGTCCCTGTGTTAGTCAATATTACTTTAGGTAGTGATGTTTTAGTCCAATTAAAATCAATGTGCAAATGTTTATGATATGGAAACAAATTTTATATGGAACATTTTTTTCAACATCAACGTTGTTGACGGATATACGCAACTTGTGTTCCTACAAATCAAGGGAGGCCTTGAGAGTTCATCAGTAGGATTGGCTCATTAAGTACAATTGTTATGACACCCTAGTTTACGTTAGTCCCTGCAATATTTCCATACAAGTTTAACCTTCCAATATTTCTACAGCTTGGAAGTAAATAAACTTCTGTTTCGTAACCCAAGCATGTTGAAATAAAATACATGCTTGAGTGGACTGGATATTATTCAATTTTCTTATTGTTATTTCAGGATATAACGTACTGTTGATGCAGAGTGTAAACAAAGCCATAATTTGAAACTCATTTATATATATTAAAAATATATTTCATGAATGTAATTATGTCAGCAAATCAATATTTAAAAAAAAACAGTTGTTTTTTTTAACAAGTTGTGAATAAAACTGTACGAAAAGCAGACTGCCATAGGTAAGTTAAACAAACCTTCATATACAAGGTGACATATAAAAATAGTCTCACTCGTAGTTATGCTAATATATACAGTGAAAATAAAAACCATTTATCTCGGATCTTAATTGTTTACTCCATCCTGCATCTAATTTAATGCTGCTCGGGATGGAGTGGAATATGAAGTACTGCTGTCGTAACCGCTCATTCTTCTATTTTTCACATTTGTATGCAGTTACTCCCAACGGCAGGAAGAAGTCCTCGGTCGGGAGATGAGACCTCTGTTCTCGATAGTTTGACAGTTGTTCGCTGCCCTTGAGAGCATCTTGCTACTATGTCATAGCAGCGTGCTAAAGCTGTTAAGATAAGTGAGATACAGAACCCTGAGATCACTTACCATGTTGCAACTGCCAAATATTTTGTCTTTTAGTACATCTCAGTTATTGGCGATTTCTATTCAAATGAAAAAAATATATAAAAAAATTAAATTTTATTTAAACATTTTAAGCCATTTGCACCTGCAGCGCATCTAGCAAATTTGATGAATTAGGCATTAACAGCAAGTTTGCTAGATTAAATTAATTTTGTTATTGTTGTAGCAGTAGATCCTTTGGCCATTTTCTTTTTAGCCTGTGTCCATCAGGTACAGGGGGGAAGAAAGAGACAGAACGAGTGGATTTGGATGGTTAAGAGTAAAAGAACGAGATGAAGTGTATTCGTCATGGATGTAGAGTGTTATTTGAAATTTACCCAGTTGCGTTGACAATTTTTCGTAGAATCTTTTACTGTGTTGTTTATATTTTATTAATGTGTGTTTTGTTTTGCCGAACCACAAACTTCTACCCCGTATGTCCAAATTGGTCTCATTATGGTGTTGTAGATCAGTCACTTGTTTCGTAAGTTAAGTGAGGATCTATAGTGCAGAAGATGCGTTGGTTATATTGTCTAGTCAGTTCTTGTCTTTTCTAGTTGGTATGTATGTTCCAGGTAAGTCTTTTGTCTAATAAGAGTCCGAGGTACCGTACATAGTTTTTTTAAGGCACTGGTTCATTGGCAATCGTTATGAATCTACATGAGGTTTTCCTAAGAGAGATATTCTCGAACCATTTTTGAAGATCACAGAGGTGGTTTTGAAGGGCAATTGATGCGATAGTAGGGTTTTTGTGGGAACAAGGAATTGCAGTGTCGTCACAGGTGGTGACCTCAATAGAAGGTGGTGCTAGGGTGCTAAGGGATATCAGAGGTGTATAGCGAATAGAGCATTGGACTTAAGACACTACCTTGTGGTACGCCAATATATTAAGGGAAGAAAGAGTAGTCAGAAGAATCTACAGATACACAGAAAAACCTGTTAAAAAAAGATAGAATGATTAGAAAATAAGTAGAAGGTAAGTGCGGTTTTAATTTTCATAAAAGGCCCTTGTGGCAGACACTTTTAAATTTTTAATTTTCGTTTAACATCATATTACCAAGTTGTTACAGGCCAATTTTATTCGAATGGGTAATTTTTTATAGCTAAAATCGTGTTATTGAATAGTTTAAGAATGCAATAAAAAATTGATATTAAAAATATTTATGAATATCAACAGGCAACTGCAAAAGTCAAAACTAAAATTATTTTTTGAAAATAAACCCTCTATTTCTTATTTTTTAAGTGGATTTTCAGTTCAATTTTTACTATAAGCTTAACACAATGATGTAATTTTTTAAAATAACGTTTTGGGTCAAAACTGCACTTTCTAACAAAATTGTATTTACCTTTTGCATTGTTGCTGCCGACAGTAGCGGTTCTAGGATTTAATTTTGGGAACATGAGTTAATTTTTATTTTCTTAATAATGGTTATTAGCCTGGAAAAAGTAGCCAAGTTTTGTGGTTTTATAAGTGAGTCATATTTTTTATTGAATCGAAAGCAATAACTAAAGAAATATTTAATTTAAGTAATTAATAATTGTTTCATTGTGAACAAGATGAAATTTAGGTTAAATGAAGATGAAGTTTATCATTGTTAAAATCTTTTACAGGCTAAAAAACCGTTTGAAGGGCTAAACTAACCTAAGTTCCGTTTTTAGAAAAATTATAAATTATTCGATATTTGCTTTTATCATTTTAGAAAAACTTCACCACTTAGTAAGATTTAAGTTCGTACCAATTAAGTTGAGATTTATTGAGAAAAAATTGAGATTCAGCTGAAATTTTGTAAAAAAAAAAATTATGTTTTTTATCCTGCTAATAAAAAGTACACCGTTTTTAAAATCACTATTTTAATAAACCTGATTGCTAAAACACGCTTATTATAATAAAAAAAAAAATGATTTCGAAAAATATTTTTTGATTCGAATATCTTTAGGATAAATTGGTTATAAACTGTTTTTCATCCAGATCTCCGTTATAGGAATTGGTCTGTATTTGTGAGATACAAAATATAAGTTTCTACTCCTAATATTTATGTTTAATTAAAAAAATCCTGCTGATTGCTTCAATTATTTTAATTAAAACGTTAATATTAGGATCAGGAAGCTTTAGTTTGTCACTTATCAATTCGGATCACTTCCTAAAATAGAGATCTGGATGAAAAACACAGTTTATGATCGATTTACAGCGGAAAATATTTGAAAAATCCGTATTTTCGAATAATTTATTTTTATAAATAAAATTTGTGTTTAGGCAATTGGGTTTATTGAAATACATATCAGATCATGGAAAAACAGATAGCTTTGCAACAATTAATTGTAGTCATTTCTGCTGAAAACAGGCGTACTATTAATGGCGTACGATTAATTACTTGACGAGATAAAAATTTTTTTACAAAACTTGTGCTGAATATCAAATTTTTCCCTATTAAACCTCAACTTAATTAGTACAAACTTAAAGCTCCTTAAACGAAGAAGTTTTCGTAAACCAGGGGAAACTGTAGTATGGTTGGATGATGATAAAAATAAAAAAAAAGGGGGAATAATTTATGATCTTTCCAAACACAGAATTTAGCTTAGTATAGTCGCTTAAAGTCCTCTGTAAACGGTTTTAAAAATTATTAACTCTATGGCCATTTAAAGTAAATTTGATATTGTTTAGAATGAAGCAATTATAAATTACTTAAATTAAATTTTCTTTAGTTATTGCTTTCGATTCAATAAAAAATATGACTCACATAAAAAAACACAAAACTTGGATATGCTACTTTTCTGCCGAAAATTAGACCATTGTTTATATGAATGTTTTTGTAGATCTTGAGATCTGTTATCACTCCCATAGAAAAAATCCTATACTTACGGAAAACCTTGTATAAGCATTAAAGAGTCCAACCTTGAATCTTTTGGTATTAACTGAACATGTATACATAATAGTAATACTAAATAATAATAGAAATAGATTATTATGAGAATATTTTAGTTGAGAGTTTGAATACATTTGTTTCAAGCATTTTTTTTTTTTTTTTTGACAATCAATTAAAATTAATAACTAAATAAATATAAATAAGCATGGAAATTAATAGACATATAAAACATTACAAATTAAACAAAAAATATTTTATTTCTTTAAAACATAAAGGAAAATATTTTGTTAGAGTCTCATTCACTCAAGAGCGGAAAACCTCCATCGGCGTAGCAGCAGGTGGAAGCAGGACTAAGTACATAGTAGTGAGTAAACAAACGAAAAGATACTAGAAGCAGGAACAAGAAGGAAAGTAACAAACACTGCTATAATGATTGAATAACGGTGTAGAAAGAAAAAAGAAAAAAGAAGAAAGACAATCAAGAATGATTAGGCAAGGAACGTGATTTACTCGGCAGCGTGGAAGCAATTGCTGGAGCGGGCAAACGGGCCCTTCTCGCCTCCAAACCGCTGCCTCCAATCTCAGTTAGCGAGGCTACCACCGCCGGGTTCGAGACCTGCCCGCTGATTAGCTGGATAATGGCATCGTCCCGAGGTGTCAGCCAATGAGCACAGAGCTCTCATCGGGTTGAAAATTGTTGCCGAGCCTCCGGGCATCAGCCTCTTTTAGTGGCCAATTATCCTTGTCTGCGGTGCACGGCCCTCTTCCCCAACGTCTTTACAACATCCTCTTCGTCCTCATTTAATGAACTTATTATTTCCAATCAGTAGAATTGATTTTAATATAGCAGGTAATTTTCTCAACGATGTTATGTTTTATTATAAATTACAAGAAAATTATATTGTACTTAGTCAACAGCAATTTCAAAAACGGTAATGAAGGCTGACCATACAGCTAAGTCATATATTAAAGGCTGAAGGTCCGTCCCATCACGAAAACTTTCTTTAGACTTAATTAAGAGGACTGGACAAAACCTTTCGTAAAGAAATTAGCATCAAAATGGGAAGAAAAATAGAGGTTAAGTGGATCAAAAATATAAAGCAGTTAAACAAAAAAATGGTAAATTAACTGGAGTAGTTCTAGAAGAGAATACATCATTATATTCATATGTTGGCATTGGTGAAGTCAGAAGGATCTAAAATCCATCCTACAGAGAGAAAGATTTTAATTTTGGTACAAAGTTACACGTACCATCTATTTGTTATCCATAAAATATGAATTGTTTCTTAATGAAATAGTTATTATATGTTTTGAAACTCAGCCCTAGGTGAAAAACAAAAGAACTAGGCATGACCCAGAAAAACTGTTTAAACAATTACTAATAGTAAATGTCATTTTGATACGGTTTCATATTGTTTTAATTACTTGGAAACCTTTCCCTTAACAATTTAAATTACTAAATTAATAATTTATTTGCTTATTAAAGTTAAGTCAATAACATGATTTTAATTTATTAAATATCATTAATATGAACTAATTAACTATGATAGAAAAGCCAGTGTTTCGAATTGGGTCTCAAAATCCAAAAATCAATGACTCCGACTGGGTCAGGACATATCTTTTAAAGAACTTCAATTGGGCCCTACACCTTTCGAGTTCGAGTTCGAGAGGTACTCGATTTGAGTCCACCCTACCAGCGTTACGGAAGGTTGGTAGAACAAAGCGTTACACGGAAGGCAGACATAACAAAATTCACTCAGTATATTTGTTGAATTTTAATTATAAACTACAGTCAAGTTCAATGATAGTCTACAGTGTGGCCTTCTTCTATCAAATTAATCTACAACTTTTTCTTAACCTACAAGGTTGTAATTTACGAAAATTCTGAGAAATGAATCCGGAGATCGAATAACTCGTTCTGTTTAAGGAAGTCCTAAAAACTAATGAGAACCTATTTGCTTTCCACTTGAATATTTAATAATATGATCAGGAAATCGAGAAAAAAGGTGGCAAACAAAAATATTGAGTCGTTTAGGGTGACCTCAACCTCAACCTGGCAAAATAACGAGGTTACATGAGCCATGCGGCCCAATATTTCGTAAGCTATCCGTTTTATAAGTTTTGAATCAAATGATCGTACGATTAATGCGGAAAGCAAATAGGTAAAACTTTTTTGTTTATATTTTCGGGTCAAATAACTTTTTATAGAATGCCCACAATAGGAAAAAAAGGCACAACAAATACACTATTTTCGGATGATCTATTTAACTAAAGTTTTTTTTTTTTAATAATTAGTATTACAAAGTAATTTGTTTTCTGCTTTAGATCTTTCATGTCGATAATTTTTTATAAACATATTTAGCCATTCGATGAAATATGAAAAATGCATAGAGTACTACCACCAGTTCGAGGATTTAAAAAGAGCATTCAGGAACCAATTTGATAGCTACAATGCCTCATTAAACATTGCGGTATCCATTATAATTAATTACCTTCGAAACTGCTGTCTCCTTTGAAAAAATATTAACAAAATATAAATCGTAATTTGGAAGTGAACATTGCAATAACCAAGAATTTTGTTTATCTAAGGGAGTTTAGACTTCATAAATGCCCATGCCATTTCTTTTGAGTTTGGTATAATTGACGATGGTTGGAACTTTAAGTGAACATAAAAAAGGATGATAATGCATGACATTTTTTTTTAAAGTATGTACAACGTTATGTATTGTTAATTATTGAATTTATTGATTATAATGTGTTAAATTATAGAGATGAGTATGGTGCAGGTTACCGAAAGCTTCTCTGAGAATAAAATAGTATAACAAAATTAGTAAAAAAATATCCTGATCGACTACGAACATATCAGTCTAAAATAATCAAATAATACTAATCTAAATTAGTTAATTATGTAGAAAATTTAACAAGTTTTTTATTTAATTTGAAAGGTCTCCATTGGCTTACAATAGCAGTGAGGCGGCTGGGAGAGAAAGCACTGGGATCTCCTGGAGTCCTGCTTTGGCTTCCACATTTGGGGAACAAAGCTTGATTCAGAGTCCCCTGGGCCAATGTAAATATTGTACATAGGTGTGAATGTGTTTTATTTATTTTATTATCATTCGGCTTTAATCTGTTATTTTACTTATCTTGTATATTACTTTATCATTTTATTTATATATATCATTTTTTTTTCTTTCTCTTCTTACTTGGTTATTTTTATTTATTTTCCTTTCTTATGTAATACTATAGCCATAGTACTAATGCCCTTCAGTGTGGCACAGAATGTATTAATACTGAATAAAATAAAGAAATCTAGTGCGCGCAACGCACAACTTTCACTTACCTATCTACTTTGAATAGAAATTATTTTCTGGCATTGTTGGGCTATTATAAAATTTTTTGAAGTGCATTTTAAACGGAGCTAAAGCTTAAAGCTGACAGATAACAAGCCATTAAGACCATTATAATTACAAAATGTCTATTTAATATATCGACGACAGGCAATATAAATCTAGTCAGTCCATCTGCTATTATAAACCACACAACTTTCTTTGTTTTTATTTTAGCGAAGTTTCATTGAAATCGGTACATTCGTTTAGGCGCTACAGTCTACAGCAATGCAGATTTTTCTGTATTTATATTTTTTTTCTCGTTTATTAAGTTATCAAATTATTTCAAAAAAGTTATATGTAGCATTTTTTTATAAATTTAAATAATGCGAAATGGTTAAATTTAAAAAATAAACCACATTACAGGTACTTCAGAGGAAGACACATATGAACATTGGGCATTTAAGCCCTGTAAAGTGACATCAACGGAGATAAGACTTAAATGATATTAAAGACCATTTAATTATACAATGATTCACCGAGTTTAATCAAAATCGTTTGAGCCGTTTTTAAGATAATTGTAAAAATGTGTTTCAGCGTTCATCCGGCCCATATACGTACCTTAAATACTTAATATCAGTTCCGTAATACTTTTCGTTTATGAGCTAGACTATTAACACACACAGACACACAGACCATTGAGACACTTGGTTATTTGGACTCAGGGGAAGTCAAAACATGTATTTCCATTGAAAACTGAGATTCGAAAATGTTCACGATCGCAATACTTACCCTTACTATATATTACATATATACGTAAGTGAAAGTAAAAAAAATAAAAACTGAAAGTTTTTATTATTAGATTAAACGGTTGCGTAAAAAACTAAAACAGTTGACAGTAAATATTGTAAGAAGCGAAGAGGAATAGACAGGACAGTGTAATAAGAAGCTTTGAGCAATGAGAGAAGACAAAGCAGACGACAGCTGGACTACTTACCTGCCCGTGGGAATCTGGAAGGGCAGCACACGTGTGCTTCGACAATAGCACCAGCAAAAACCAGGCACCTGCCGCCACTTGCTGCCTTTTGCTTTCCATATTTCCTCATCTCTCTTATCCTCATCCAACGGCAGCACTCTAATGTCTTCATGGAGCTATTGTTACAAAAACAATATTTATCTACGTGCTTCTTTCTTTAACGGTGAGCTGGAACTTCAATTCCAATTCAATTTTTTATCATTAACTCCCTGTCATGACTCCTGCGCGTAGGTTATTAAATTAATAAGCCTTACAACAAAAATGGAAAGTTTTTATTTTTATTTTATTTGCAATTACCTCTCCGCAAAAACCTTAGTATATCACTACTAATACAACTAATAAATTTATGTGATACATAGCCAAAGATGCAAATAATAATCCAGGATATAGACCTCTTTTTATCAAATTGTTAACATCTGACTATACCTTCATGAATAGCCTTACAACAAAAATGGAAAGTTTTTATTTTTATTTTATTTGCAATTACCTCTCCGCAAAAACCTTAGTATATCACTACTAATACAACTAATAAATTTATGTGATACATAGCCAAAGATGCAAATAATAATCCAGGATATAGACCTCTTTTTATCAAATTGTTAACATCTGACTATACCTTCATGAATAGCTTCATGAATAGCATCGCAACCAATAATTTTGGTTTATTATTTTCAATAATGTACCATTGTGATGGAACAAAAAATTCAAAAACTTAACCCCCTCTCAAAATTTGAGGTTTAACGTATCAGGGATACGTAGAATTCGAAAACCGAATAAACAATTTTTTATCCATCCACCATCCACACATTTTCTCCGAAACTACTGGACCAATTATTTTCAAATTTAGCTTTAAAATTAGAGGTCACTCTAGGATGATCCTCCTTCATCGACATTTCTATCCGTATTTTCCTTTGAAGATGGCGACCGAAAAACCTGAGTTCCTGCCGATTTCAAGGAACCTTCGCTAAAGTCATATTCTCGATGACATTTAAATTTATCTATATAACATACTTCAAATGGTTATTTAAAAGTTCACGAAATTTCCTAAAAAACAAAAACAAAATCGTTAAAATCGGACAATAAGGAGGAATGATATGGTCTCTAGATCTTTTTTATACGTTGCACTACAAAGGTTATATATATCCTTTGCTTTGGTTTTTGGTTTTTGAATGTGGTACTGAAGTAATACTAATTTTTATAGCATATTACTAATGATTAAAAAAAAATGTTTAGTCCAATAATTGGAATCACTTTTTATTTCTTTGTCACTAGGAAGATAATGTTACTTTAGATGTATATTTTTTTGAAAATAATAAACTATTGCGAAATAATTTGCAGCGTTTTTTATTGCGAAAATTCTCGTAAATGGGTCGTTTTTAATATGGAAATCGGCAAATCGTATCCATTTAATTAGTCACTAAAAACTAATTAAGACCCAATTGCTTTCCTTTTGAAACATATGATAATTTGATCATAACACCGAGTATGAAGGTGGCTTACAAAAATATCGGGCCGCTTTGGGTGAGCTCCACCCCCCTCCCCCCCAATATGTCAAAATAACGAGGTTATATATTCCAAACGGTCCAATATTTTTGTAGACCACCTCCTTTTTTGGAGGGTTATGTGATCATATTTTCTTATGATTCAAGTGGAAAGTAAATGGGCATTTTTGAGTAATTTTTGGGTAATTTTTAGTGCCTAATTAAAGTAATGAGAAAACGCCATATTTCTGAGAATTTCGACAGATACAAAATTTGTAAGTTACAATAAGATGAAAACTTTTTCACAAAGCTTTAGGCGGATGTTATAATTTGATAAAAAAGGATCTGTAGCACCTCCTGATGGGGTTTAGGTCTTTAGCAAAAATACAATAAAAGTTGACAATTTTTACATACGACCTTTTGCACTAATAGTAGTGATATATACTTAATAGGTTTGTTTACACTCGTAAAATGGATGCAACTAGAAAATCCATAAGAAAAAATCTACTTGTTGTTTATTCGGAGTTAATGAGACCAATACTTTTCTTCAAGCAGAACAAAACTAATTAAGCTGGAATATAAAAATATGAGTGAAGTTGACACAACTTGGATATTTAAAGAGAAAATCGAGACGAAGACGAACTGGTTGAATTTCAATGGATCTAAACACAATCACAAATAAGACCTTTTTTTACATATTCAGGGTAAAAACTGCTTTAAATTTAATGAAAATTACACGAAATCATGCTAGTAACGTTTGAAATCGACCAAACAATACGGTATAAATTAATTTTTTTAATAAAATCTAAAATTTTATAACCCCATAACAATATTGTAATAACCTAACTCCCACTCCATATGATCAGTGCCTTCAACATTTCACAGCCATTATATTGTTAACAATTATTTATATTAATTTTAATTATTAAATGGAATTCAATGAAATTGATACTAAGTAATTTCTATACTGTTCTCCAAATTTCCTCCAAGTTTGGGTCAAATCGAATGCGCCGTTTTCAAACTATAGGCATATCAAATAACACATTTCCTGATCTGAAAGCGGAAGTATTTTTTTTGGAGTATTAGATAGAATTTGATAAAATTGATGCCTATTTCATTTTACATTTACCAATCCCTAAATTCCCTCCAAATTTGAGCCAAATCGAACTTGCGGTTTTAGAGATATAGACGTATCAGAGAAAACACGTTTGCGCATATATAAGAGAAAGCAATGGACAGAATTCAATAAAATTGACCCTACATTATTTTTTCACAAATACCTACATTTTATCCAACTTTGAGCCAAATCGAACGAGCCGTTTCTGAAATATTGGCATATTTACAAAAATACATTTACGCGATTGTAAGCGGAAGTAGTGGTTAGAATTTAATAAAATTGATATGGGACCGTCTAGACACCAATCTGCATAATCCCTGAAATTTTCATGAAAATCGGATGAACGATACTAGGTGATATGCCCCTTCAAATCGATTTGACTACAGACAGACAGAGACCGAACCAAAGTTGATCCTTGATGTCTGAAATGTAAAACGCGAGTGAAAATTTTCGATTCTGAGCACAAATTTTTTTTAACCTCTCGCACGAATACAATGCTTCCCTACCTTAGGTAGTGAGGAAGCAAAAAGGAATTTTACTTAAAAGGTGGCTATTCAAGCTGTATATTCAAACGTTTAAACTCAATGTTCATTTTTTTTTTTCAAACTACAAAAATTGTTGTAATTAAACATAACTTGATCGCTATACAAGGGGATGTAGCTCAGTGGTAGAGCGTTCGCTTTGCATGTGAAAGGCCCCGGGTTCGATCCCCGGCATCTCCAATTTTTTTGTCAATAGTTTGTTTAATTTATACTAATTTTTTTAATTTATTGTTTCCCATCAGGTCACAAAAGTTTATATTGAGTTTATATGAATAATAACAGATATTCCATTAATAACAGATATTTATTATATAATAATAACAGAGATTTATTATATAATAATAACAGGTATTTATTATAACTCGTATTCGCCCAGTAGTCTCAACTCGACCATAATCATAATCATAAAAATAGATTGAATAAATAAAATGTAAATCACGATTCAAAAATCTCTTTTATTGATAAAAATAAAATTTTAACTTAAACTTGAACTACTTAAAATTATTTATAAATAGTTAAAAAAATATTTAATTTCCATTTTAATTTATATGTGCTATTATCACAATGAATTAATGTTACCATTAAGCAAGTAATTAATAAATTTAAATTAACTATTTTAATTTAATTTAAATCAATTTTTTTAAATGAAATGTAAATATATTTTATTATTATAGGAGTGTTGTACTTTTTTTTTTTTTTTAATGAAGAACTTCTCTATAAACAATGTTCCTTTTGAATGTTATGTGATTGTTTAGTACATAGTCTTGCCCATTGCCATTGGGAATATAAATTTCAAAATTTTAAAAGAACATGATGTACTTGCTACAACATATAATTGTCCATGCGAAATCACAGGACGTCGCACTAAAACAAATTTTTTTCCAAAACTCTGATCCTGCGATTTATGGTCATAGCAAATGCAGCTATTAATAAGAATGTTGTTCTTTGAAATTCGAATGCAAGCCTCAGAAAATGTTAAATTAATTCTTGAAATTAAACTCCTTTTATTTAAAGTAGCTCCCGTTAGTACTTCATTCTCACTCGTGTTCCATTACCTAATGCTTGTGCAGTATTTAACTTTTCGTTCAGTAAATCAAACCTTTGCTATTAAAATAAAACAAAAGGCATTTAAAAATTATTTTGAAAAATAGCAACGTATAATATCGAATACATCTGAATAAGCTATATAGAGAAATGAAAACAATAATACTCTAATACAATAGTTTAAATATTTAGTTGCCGATCGAAGCGAATCACCGTACAATGGTAATGATTTTATTCAACTTTCGTTATACATTGATCGCTGCATACCATAAACAAGAGACATAATTTCGAACAGACGTTTTACATCATAAGATAATTAATCGATATTATTGCTGTCAATACAATAGTCGATAGCTGTGAGATAATTTGTAAGGCAGCGCCAGGTGAATTATTGGCCATTCTTCAGCTGTTGCAGGTTCTCGGCGGAGATATTACGAATTTGCCTATTGTTTTGTAACTGCCAGAACGGCTCATACATATTCATGGCTCGACAGGGCTTCGACAGTGCCTGCTCTTTCACAAAGTGCCTTTTGAAATAGTTCACACACACGAGGATATATATAAATCTAAACATACGGCGGCCGACCTAAAATCCCAGCGTTAATGCAACATCGTCTGATTGTTTTCTTGGGATGAGCCCGTTCCGTCCCAGTTGCTTCTGTTGCAATTTTGATAAACACCTGGAGCAACTTCCTTCATTTCGATTCATATTTTAAACAAAAAAGTAAATGTTATATGTATCTTATTCACTTAGCCTTTGTTTATGCAAACAATTATTTACAAACAAATGAGTGAATCGTGTCATTTACAATTCAAATAAATTTGATAAAAAAATAAAACCATTAAATGTCCACAGATACAGTAAAATGTCTCTAA